ACAGACTGACACAAATAGAATTAGGGGACCCAGATTCTACATTGGTTTTCCACTCACACCCCTCACTCATCCACACATTTGTGTTGGTTTACACACCAAAAAGCAGCCATAATTATTTTTTTCATGACCATTTTCAAACCTCTCCTTAGCCCTTTGATTTAAACAGCCTGTTTTATGTAAATACCTCTCTTCTGATTGGCTGATGCATTCACAAATGCCCTATACTGTGCCTCATTCAAAAACCTACACTATCCGCAGTAACAGCACTCCGTATCACTTTAATGAATGGGCTTGCTAAAGTGCTGTAGGCTGAATATGCAGATATATGTAAACATTTTCATGGTACAGACTGTTTTTGTAGCTCATTTTCTACAAGTGGACTATATTTGCTCATTGGCTATCATTTATAATAGTCATTGAGCCATCTACCAGTTATTTGGATGATTAATCAAATCATTTCAAATGCCTCTTTGAGAAATTTTGAGAAATCTTTAATGAACCTGCCATGGTTGTGCATATCATTGTGTAGAAATGTTTACTAATAATGCTAGTGTCCACTAGCGCTTCTTTGGGGATTTCTGTGTTAGCAGTGGCATGTATTTACTTTCCCAAACTGAGTTTAACTGCTTTGTCCAGTCCTACACGTTGACGTTTGAAGCTTTTGAAACTTGTAACAGATATTCAGGTGATATATTCTTTACTTTGGATGGTGTAGTTTTCCAGGAAAGTCTAAATGAATGTCAGTGGAGTCACCTGTTAGCCTGTTATCTGTCTGCTGAGCTGTTCAGTCTAAATCTAGTTAAACAAAACTTCATATACTGTACACTTGTTTTTTACACATACATTCAATTTGTAACATCAATCAGTTCATTTTACTTCACATACATGCAATTTGTAACTACAAGCATACATGCATTTATGAGATTCTGCTGGTGTGGGTTTCCCCCCTTTAGTGACACTGACAAACCATGAATTAAGTGCTAATAGCTCCCCTTCATGGGCATATCTGCTAGATATGGCTTTACAATAACCCTGTTTATCATTCAAATTGTGAACTAATAATTAAGCTAATTAACTGACCAAGCCATAGGCCTGCTGGCAGGCCCAAAGTATTATTACACACCTCTATAACCTAAGAAAATTAGTTTGCATTGAAGTCCCTGTAGTTACTGAATAATAGGCCTTAGTATGTAATAAGTCTGGAATGTTAAGGGGTCAGTTGAGAGACTAATTTAAATTTAAATTAGATTTTAACTGAGCAACCATGACACCCATAGTTGTGACTATTGTTGCATTTTCTGTTCTTTTTTTAAGTAAAGGAAAATGCTTCAGTACAATATAGATGTGGCAGATGGAGAGGTAACAGGGACACAGAAAGGTGTTTTAAGTTGGGGGTGTTGAAATTTTAAGCAGCATATGCATGCTATGAACGATGACATCATCCTAAATGATTTACATTTTTTTTTTCCTTCTAATTTTTCAAATCTTTACCAACAGAATGTTTTATACTACACTATAATGAGGCAAAAGTTGACAATATATACATGTAACTGACACATTAGACCACTGATCCACATCCTCTCTCTGCTCTCTCACTCTGGACAAACTTTATGCAAATGAACTAAGTGATGACCACATTTAATGCTGGAACTCACAGTGAGCAGGAGATACAGTCTCTTTAAGCCTCAGCCTGCATGTGTTTTAGCAATGTGCCCCCAAAGCAGTCATCCACTTTTACTTAAAGTCCACTCAGTTCTAGGTAATAACCAGTAAGTGTAAGGTGCAACGTACTATGTAATTAATTTGGGTATTAAACTGTAATTTGGGCATTAAACTGTTTTTAGCTATTAAACTGTAACTAGTAAAAGACCTCAAAAATAAGTGGACATTTCACTGTACAAATTTCATAGTAATGTCATATGATTCAGCATAAATCAAAAACATCTCCAGAGAATCAGAAACATCTCCAAGCACCAGGTAATTTAGAAGGCAAAAAAATGACAACACAAAATACAATTTTCTGAAGTAAATGGTAAAAAACCAGTAAAATCACAGAAAGAATCATTGCTCTTTAACAGCACAGGTTCAGTTTCATTTACAGGTAATAGACAGGTTCATACTATGTAAGATTCTGTGCTTTATTTATGAACAATCTTTTATGTCATATAACAACCTGACACTTTTTACCCAAAACAAGCGCACAGCACTGTGGAGTTTGTACCACATACTTACCCAGCTAATACTGAGAACTCAAAGCCCTGTAAATAAGTGTTACTAAAAGAGATTAGGCTGAAAATGTTATTTTCCATGCCTTTAATTGTCGTTAGCTCATTTTCACCGTGCAGAGTGGAGCTAAAAGCAGCAGCTCCGCCTCGCTTCCCTGTTGCTGCGCGTGTGTTGCCAAGGCTACCTGCACACACCTGCACCGAGACCCACCAGGCACGGCCTGCATAGCACGTAGTGTGGAGATGTGGGTCACCACACCTGGTTTTGTAAAATATCCAAGCCCAGAGCTCCTAAGGATCAAGAGCAGGCCTGAAGAGCAGACAGGAAGCCTGAACATGTGGTGCCACACACAAAAAAAAAACATGGTTAAAGCCTCTTAAGAGCAGGAAAGGGAGAGATATGGGGCTTCAGAGAGGTGAAGAGAGGGGGAGCGAGAGTGGGGAGAAGAAAAGGAGGGAGAAAAAGCAGAGTGGGGGATGGTGGGATGGGAAAGAGGGAGACGTGGGCATCTTCAAGGTCATCCTTTTGTATTAAGAGATGAGCGATAGCTGGAGGGAAGATATCAGAGTCGCCGAGATAATTTTTCATTGCATTATCTTTGCCTAAACCACCCCCTCCACAGCCCCCCACCACCACCTCCTACTCCAAACACACACAAACACACGTACACACAGCCTCCTCCCGAAACAAGAATATATAACGCTTGACAGGCTCTTCTTCGCTGCTTAACCCGGATGACGTTCATTCATAATTGTCAAAAATTGAATTATTTTGCAGGCTGGTTTCACGCTGTTCATGTAGAGCTTACTCAATCACCCAGAGTGGTGACAGATTGTCACGATATGGAATGATCTTTTATGATTTTTAATCTTTTTTTCTTCTAAGATTGAATTCATTTAGGCTTTAATGAGGTGCTATCATCAACTCGTTTGTGTACAAAAAACACACAGAAGTATACAAGAAACATACACAAGCCTACACAGCAGGTAATCGCCTTTAAAAAGACACATTCATTTATTTAAGCTTTCCGGATTAAATGTTTAAGATATTTGAATATTTGACATACTTAATGAGTCAAAAATTATTATCTGTGCTTTAAATGTGTCTATAATTATTACATAATTTAGAATTTTTAACAACAGCACCTAATTAAAGAATAATCAAGTGGTTAAGTTCATTATAAAAAAAATCTGTACATTTACAGTATTTATTTTATAGTAAAATACTGGTTTGTTTTTTTTCAGGATCGTACTGTAAAAGATTGGCTATTTAGAGTGATACATTGGTTTATAGTAACATACCAGGCAACACAGTTTACAGTAAATTACTTGTGCTAGAGTTGCCAGTAAAAGAACTGTAAATTTACAGATTGTCACTGTGAATATTTTTTATAATATTACATAGTACTTTAATGGCAACTCTGCTACTAGTAATTTAATATAATTTCTCTGTTTTTTTTTTCTACAGTGTTGTAAATTGTTGCAGTTATTATGTAAAAAGGCAGTTAAAAGTCTGCAGAAATGTCACAGTAGTTTTCAGTGGATGTTCTCAAAGGTATTTTTATTGCTTATTCATTTAAAATTGTACACCACTTTTCTGCATTATCAAACACATCATCTTGTAGAATCAGCACTTTCTGCACAGTACTATGTTTTGTATCACTGTATAAAAGATGCCTGGGGCTTCAATTGTTGTTGCACTGTTCTTTTTCCGGGTTTTGATCGGAAAGCTCTTATTATCAGAGTAACAATCCTGACTGAAGTCTTATTTATGCAAATAAAGTTTGTGAGAGCCAATCTAATGGTGGAAATATCTTCTTTGTGTCAGTCTTAAAGGGTTAACTCATTAAAATCTGCCTCCAGAGTAGTACATGTGCATGCATGCCAACGTTGCCCACCGTAACATGAATCAGCATGTGGAAACAAAGTTTTGGTGCTACCATATTTTCTATCACTGTATAAAAGAAGCACCATTCTGCCTTTATTGGTGGACATACCGTGATAGTTTCTGAACCAGAATGTAATACTCATTATGAAAGTGCATATTTTTGATGTGTTTCATTAGAATAACAATAAAAAGTGTGGAGTATGAAGTATTTTTAATGTCTAAAAGTATCCAGACACCCCTGCTCAGTAGTGAATTCATCACTTTCAGGTCACTCATTAATGATACAGGTGTTCAGTTGTGTGCAGCTTGTATAATTTCCATAGAAAGGCATTGCAAATAGGATAGGATGCTCTGGAGCAGCCACACCATGCATAATACCAAGCATCAACAGGATAAGTGCACAGCAGCAGTGGAACTGCATTCTCTGGAATGATGGAGCGCCACCCAACACCTTTGGGATGAATTGGAGTCACATGTATCATCCAGCATCAGCTATTGACCTCTAATTCTCTTGTGACTGCTACCAAATACTCACAGCAGTGTCTAGTGCAAAGTCTTACTAGAAGAGTAGAGGTTGTTACTGCAGCAAGCCGAACTCCCTGCTAATCCCATTGATTTCAGAGGGAACATTGAACGAGCAGGTGTCCACAAACTTTTGGACATATAGTGCATGATCCTATACATGTTGCTTCAGAGTGATAGTTTGTGACAAAATAAAACCTACATTTGGTAGATCATGTTCTATATGTATGTAAATAGCATTGAGCATTAAAAGATCATGTTGGTAGAAGGAGAAGTGTAGATTAAAAAAGGAGGAATAGCAGCTTTCTTGCCTTGGCCATAAATGGTTAAACATGTTTCTATATATCCTCTGCTCTCCTCTTTAGGTCTCCCAGTGATGCAGGTGAAGATTGACATCTCCAGGCAGCAGGTGGAGAAAATCTTCGGCCTGGAGGATTACTGGTGTCAGTGTGTGGCCTGGAGCACTACAGGAACCCAGAAGAGCCAAAAGGCTTACGTGCGAATCGCCTGTGAGTTATCCTAACACGTCTGGACTAGCCAACTGCTCGAAATCTGGGGCATGAGCGTGGGGGGGGAAAAGCCCGTCAGTGTGTCCAGGGGAAAATGTTCAGAATTCAACAAGGCTTCGGCTGGCGTATCTTTTTCTGAGGCAGAGCAGAAGATTTCGCTCCTCCAATCCTGTGGCCGATGCGCTCTCGAATAAAAATGATTTCCAAATTGCATTTAGTCCAATCAATCTGAGCACTTCAGCTGTGTGTGTTCCCCGAGGCTGATTGATTCAGATGGGTTTGTATGACTTATTTAACGTTTTTGATTGGGAAGTTTGATCAAAATAAGCCCGTGGCATGGTAAGCCGCTAATCTGCGACGTAACACGTGGTAATTGCCTCGAGAGGCCACGCAGTTTCCCATATCTAGCAGTGCGATAATACGATTAGGCTCCAGGAGGGCCTCTGGCCGCTTCGTTTGGGAGAAACAGCGTCCCGAAAGTGGAGGAAGAGAGTGCTCGCTTTAAGGCTTGGCATCTGAGAGAATACAGACGAGTCCCCTTTCAAACAAGCCGCATTTGTAACCGAAAACAATGATGAAAGCGCCGCGCAATCAGACCGGATTTATGATGTATCTCTCCGCGTGCCGGCGTATAAATCTGCCGAGAGAACAAAGAGGGCTATCGCTCCACACCTCGACGGCCTCAGATCCGAGGAAAAGAAGCCATTAAACGTGCCTGTGATATATTTTACAACCTCTCCTCTATTAATCTCCTCATAAACATGCGTCGTTTAAAACCAGGACGTCACACGGAAGCGCTGAAAGGAACAGGACCCCCCACAGACACTTTAAACTCAACCTCATTCCAGTCTCGCCTTCAAAGTCACGGAAGAGTTGGATGAGGACGGTGGCTTTTTTTATACCTCCCACGACCGCGCTGCCCGCAGTGCTGCCCAGACCCGTTAAATCCAGTTTAATTAAATCGAACACGCTGGAGCCCTCTTTAGCGCTCAGCATTTGGTACGGCCTGATTGCTATAGACAGGCATGACATGGGCTTTTTTTAAAGAGTGAAATGACTAGCAGTGATGTCTTCATAGAAAGCAGCCAGTTAGCTGCTAGTTGCTTCTTAGTGTCGCTTCGCAGAAATGATATTCCACAAGGACGACTGTCTCCATTAGGGCTGTGCATGCTTTATGACTAATTTTGATATTAGAGTCTCTGTAAGAGTTAATGGCTGGATAGTCCATTAACAACCAGGAAGGGAAAATGAACCACCTAAAATGATAAGACTATGGCCAAAATATTCTAGGGCTGTTTGCTTACTTTTTTAGGTGGTAGCAGACTGAAATTTCAAAAAAATTAACGGCACAATAAGGACACCACCAACATGATTTATTATTATTATTAGCCAAGGACCATTGGTAGGTTTTCATGCCAGATGAGGAACACAGGCTGCTTTATCAGATGAGCTAATTAGCTAAAACAGTTAACCGGTACAACACTGAATGTTGATGAGGACTCATCATCTTCTACAGGTGAGAAAATAGATAGAGAAAGATAGAGATATATACTACTGCTGTTGGAAGACAACTTTGTATCTCCATTTTTGTCGTTTTTTAGTTTTTGACATAATTTGAATATGTCTGTTGCCCTTTACACTGTATTTAAATTTCGTGACGATTGGACCAAAAGAAATGGCCCAAAATGACTTGGAAAAAAGTCTGGTTCCATTGACTTACATTAAAAGTAAAGTAGGTATTTTCCCTTTCCTGTAAAGTTGCCATTTAGGAGATATGAGTTTTTTTTCCGACAACAGCGATATGTAGGAATAAATTTGACATGTGGATGAGTTTGTGGACCAAGAGGATTAAACATTAAAAAGGTGTTTGACTAAATTGAAGTGCATGTTTCCACCATTTTTCCTTGATGAAGCATAGTACCTTAATAGAGATTCCAGTTTTTGAATTACTCTGGTACCTCTGCACATCCCTAGTCTCCATGGGCTTTTTAGCCAATTATGCTAATCATATGTTTACATTTTTAAACATATTTGTGGCCCCCAATAAGGAAATTGAATAACTAGATCAGGTGTGATAGATTAGGATTGGATCTAAAGGTGGTAGATCTCCAGGATCAGGATTGGGCATCTCTGGCGTAGAAAAAGCTGTGGAAAACATTGTGCATACAGGCAAATGCTCTTTTATTGAACAGGCACTTCAATAGGCAGCAAGAAATCCCAGTCCAGCACTACTGAATAACAGTGAGAATAGCGGGGACAGTCACGAATAGCCATACAACTTGACTGCATGGTAGACACTAACTAACCCAGAGCCCCACACAATAAAACACAGTCACATCTTGAGCTAACAACTGTCCTTTTAAAGCCATCATCCCCTAAAGCCCAGTCAAAAATAAATGAAAACACAAGACTTTCTAAAATTGAAAATGGAACTATTGGCAACCAGGTAAGACCTGGTACACCACCAAAAACATCAAAACAGATAGACAGAAAAGCAAATTTGCAAATCAAACAAACAAGCTGCTGTTATTCTCAAAACAATTAACCGGCCACTACAGAAACTGCAACCAACTTCTAAGACTGAACTTTGGTGGTGTGAAAAAATATCCCAGCTGATTTGCTTAAAAAAGTAAAGGCAAATCTCCCGACACAAATGGAATGATTCATATTATATTTAATTATTGAGACTTCTTTATAATTTTTCATTCCTACTTTTTTTTAGACGCTTCATACTGTAGCTCTGCTTAATGTATCCATTTGCTTTAGCTTGAGATACAGCTGCTGCCCTGACATTTTCCATGGCTGTGGAGTGTTTGGTCAAAAATGTACAGGATTTCTTCCATTTTTTTTTTACTTAACTACACATACTTAGTCTTATTCAACTAAGTAAATGAATACTAAGATGCATTTCTATATTTGCATAAGCGTGCACGTCCCTACTAGAGAGTGGCCGGTTAGGCGTTGGTTACTCCTCCTAGTCGCTATGCAGAAACAGATGTTCCACAAGGGCAGCTGTCTCCACAGGCGCCTCTTCACTCAAGCCGTTCCTCCATTACACTAGTCGTAAACATTTATGCAAAGATTGTTTTGAAAGCATTTTACCGTCCATTGCCACTATGACTCAAACCGTCTTTATCAGCAGTAACGTAATTTGGAGGAGCAAATGCAATCTGACTCACATCAACACTTGTCTCAGTAGCCTGCGGGGTGGAGGGGTGTGTGGATACCCCATCGTAGAGTGGTGCGTGTGGTGTGTGTGTGTGGAGGGACGGGGGTGGGATAATGCAATTGCTCTTCGTTGATGCTTGGCCCCAGGGCTTCAGACAGCCATTCTCTAACGCAGCCAAGCAGCACCAAATAAGCACTGGGCCCTGTGCTTCTCACACACTTTTAGCTCCTGAACAAACAAACACAAGCCAAAGAACACACCTGTTTCTAGAGGAATATCTCTTTTACTGTAATAATTCAGTGAGCGCTGCAGCTAACCATTATTTCTGTACTTTTAAATCAGTTAACTTAACATGTGCATCATATTCAGGCGCGGATCATCAAGTTATTGGCCCCTGGGAACAAATGTTTGGTGGGCTCCTACCTGGCTTCCTTTTTTGGGTAGTCAGTACATTTTTGCACTGCAGGTTACGCGAGGCCTATGCAGCACCACATTGGCAGCATACTAACTATGGAGTTGGGCATGTCACAGCTAAAAGCACTTTCTTTCCCAATCAAGAAAATCCCAATCAAGCATGCATCAGCTTTTTACTACTTATACATATAAAGATGACCTAATAAAGATGACATAAATTAAAACTGGACAGCTGAAATGAGCATAAACACGGAAAAAAAGCAGCAAACTTGAAATCCCAAACCGTCAAGCAAAAGCTAAAGTATACTGCCGCAGCGGGCACAGAATTTTTTTCTTTTATTTTTTAGATTATTAAACCTCTAATGACAGATTGCAGGCCACTTTTTCTTTAAACCTCTGGGGTCTAAGGGCATTTTCTTTAAAGACACTTGCATATAAAATAATACCCATGCTTCATATGAAACACGTGTTGTCTTTGACGTTACTTTCCAAAATTGCGACAGCAAATTCAGCAGCTGTAAATTTTTGCATGTTTCTGATGTCATCTGAAGTAAGAATGAAGGGTTACCGATGTGATGGGAAGGTCCTTGGTGATTTGCTGAGCGTTCGTTGGTTAGTTTCACACAAAATGTAGACAGACTCATGAATCCACTAATTACACACGGTGAGAGGCAAATTACATGGATCTCAGACTCTCTTCACAGCCTTATAACTCCAGATGTGAGTCATGTGTGATCTTGCAATGATATAGATTTGAAAGAGCAACTCTATAGAAGGTGTTTCAACTGTGTCTCTGTGCTGTATTATTGCAAAAATAGACAAACATCTATGGAAACGTTGAATTTGACATGTAGGTGAGTTCGTGGACCCTAGAGAGTTAATAGAGGCTGACATTTTACATTTGATTTTGCAAATGGACATATTCTACTCTGTCAGAATTTCATCTCTTGCTTTTATGGATCCCCCAGAGACATCTGTTGAATATCTAGAGCTTCATTCAAAGTATTTTCCCAGGATTACTAACTCGCTTGACCTAAGTAACAGCGATGTGACAGTTGCTAAGCAGTGATTGGAGGAGAAAATGAAGCAGACATTTAGAAAAGACACAGAGAGTGTCAGGATTTTGATTGGCCAGAAGACACAACAACGAATTAAATCATTCTTTACGCTGTTCTTCAATAGTCAGGACCACCACAGAGCAGGTATTATTTGCATTGTGGATGATTCTCAGCACTGCAGTGATGTGGTGGTGGTGGTGTGTTAGTGTGTGTTGCACTGGTACGAGTGGACCAGACACAGCAGAGCTGCTGGAGTTTTAAACACCTCAATGTCACTGCTGGACTGAGAACCAAAAAGATTCAGCCAACAGTGTCCTGTGGGCAGCGTCCTGTGACCACTGATGTCAAGTCAAGTCAAGTCAAGTCAAGTCAAGTCAAGTCAAGTCAAATTTATTTGTATAGCACTTTTTACAACTGATGTTGTCACAAAGCAGCTTCACAGAAATCCATTAAGGACAAAGTTTTAACATGAAATGTAAATCCTCCAGGTGAGCAAGCCAGTGGCAACAGTGGCAAGGAAAAGCTCCCTCAGAGCTGGGGAAGAAACCTTGGGAGGAACCAAGGCTCACAAGGGGGGACCCATCCTCCTCTGGTCAAACTACCTACAAAATTATTATACTACTAATATTAATAGTAGTAGTAGTAATAATAGTTAGGAGTCCACTTCAGTGTCGGGTGGGCAGCCAGTCCAAGGCAGGTGGCGGATGAAGGACTAGAGGATGACCAACACAAACTGTGCAGCGACATTTGAGCTACTGTCTCTGACTTTACATCTAAAAGGTGGACCAACAAGGCAGGTGTAACTAATAGAATGGACAGTGAGTGGACACAGTCCAACACCAAAATAATACCTGCTCTATGGTGGTCTTGTGGGGGTCTTGACCACTGAAGAACGGGGTAAAAGGGGGCTGACAAAGCATGCAGAGAAACAGATGGACTACAGTCTGTAATTGTAGAACTACAAAATGTCCTTTTTCTTGATCACTGTCATCAATAGACATGCTATTTTGTGCAGCTTGGAATCGGGTTACTTTTAGAGGGCATTTGAAGGTTAAGTGGTTTATAAGTTGTAGGGCAGTTCTAAGAAAAAAAAAAAACTTTTAATTACACAAGAGTCCCCAGTAGTACCAGTAGCTTTGCTTAAGATGTTTGCAAGGCAGTCAGCTTAGCCTGAAAGTAGTAATTGATGTCTTTGGTCCACAGATCTGAGGAAAAACTTTGAGGAGGAACCGCTGGGCAAAGAGGTGGCACTAGACCAGGAAGTGCTACTCCGCTGCCACCCTCCAGAGGGTGTGCCCACAGCTGAGGTAAGTTACACACAAAGTCCTCAGCTAATTATCCCGCTAGTTGATTTATCTTCGCGTCTGTATCAGCCCTGCAATATTTCACCATGTGTAACGCCATGGCGTCTGTCCTGTCAGCTGGACATGGACGAGAGGCTCAGCTCTCTGCTTTTGCCAGCTCCGCTAGCTCCATTAATAATGCATGCAGGTTTGCGGAGGACGCAGGACTGGACCAGACTGTGGCCAGCTGTTTTGGCTCAACATTGCCCACCGGAGCCTCCAACCGGCCAAATAACAACAGCAGTTACCTTGCTCTCTCTGGCGGCCTTGCAGACCACCGCATGAAATATTTAACTCCAAGCAGACTCTTTTTTTGCCTTCCAAAAGTGTCCCAGAATGACTTTTTGACTGAATACATTTCAATTTTTCCGCCTGGCCGCCTTAATACTTTTGTACCCTATTAAAATTAAACAGGGCCAATCAGAGATGGGCGTAGTAGGACAGTGAATGCTGTGTGGTAATTACGCCAGTTCTTAAACTATTCCACGAGGGCCGGGTCTTTGTTTTCAAGCAAATCTTTGGCTTTGGGTAGGAAAAAAGAGTGAAGCTAATCCTCAGCACTTCTCCCCGAAGGCAAAATGAAACTCCTGCCAGCATCTAAACCCCTGCACCCCAGCAGCGGCCTTGAGAATGGCCCAGAGCCACAGTCCGAGCCCTGCAGCAGCGCCAGATTAAGGCTGTGAATGTCCTTTTTTCTTGTTCCTGTGTGTGTGTGTGTGCGCATACATGTGTGTTTCACCAGGTGGAGTGGCAGAAGAATGAGGAGCTGATCGACCCCAAGGCTGACCCCAATTTCTTCATCACAGTGGACCATAATCTCATCATCAAACAAGCCCGGCTGGCCGACACTGGCAACTACACCTGCGTGGCCAAGAACATTGTGGCCCGCCGCAAAAGCTCGTCGGCCGCCGTGATTGTCTACGGTGCGTCTCTTCTCCAAGCCTGTCTCTTTCACATACCTTTTCAGTAGTTACACAAAAGTTGGAGATGGGTTTTGACCCATGAGTCAAGAGTAATTCACTGAGGGCAGCTTGATAGACAGTTCTCTTTGAGGGTTCGAGCAATAGCTAAAAATTTGAACGGCTGCTAACCAAGCTAATAAGAAGGTTTGAGCAATGCTGACCATTACTGCCATTGCACTAACCGCAGCTACAACTGGTAACCACCAATCCCTTGAAACTCTTTATTACAGTAGAAACACCTGCTATTCCCTGCAGAATCCCAACACACGTGAAGGTATGAGCAAAACAGGCATGATTGTCTGAGAAATTCCAACAGCGCGAGCCGCTCCACAATCACAGCTCTCCTACCTGTACGCTGTAGTTGGGCTTGCACTGGAGATGGATAACGAATTGGCTTGATAAGCCAGCTGACCTTTATTATTATGCGCAGTTCTTGCCCATTCCTTATTCCGGTGGGAGGTCTCTGGACTCCCTTGGACCGAAGGTAGCATGCATTAAAGACACATAATGCTCTCAGCTAATCAGGACAGTCAATCAGTCACTGTGAACAGAGCAAAGCGGCAGAAATCAAGGGTTCTGGCCCTCCGGAGGGACACTGAAGAGAGCGCTCAAGAATTTTAGCTTTGCTCTTTTTTAATATTTAATCTGCAGCTTATCAAACTGGTTAGGAAGCTGTAATTAGAAGGACGGGGCATCTGTATGACTTTCAAATAGAATAAATGTCTACATGGACAAAGGAGGATTTCTTTAATGCAGTATCTGCCAAACAGGGCAATCAAGGTGCTGTATTTTATTAGCAGGAAAAGAAACAACAATGCCGAAAAATGAAGCCAATTGCCCTGATGATGGAGAGATTAGATTAGTCTGTTTGATTGAATTGCATAGTTTCTTGCAGGAATCTTGATGGAGGACCCTGCGAGGGGACTGGAGCAGTGAACTGTGGAAAAAAATCTCACCCTATTGTTTGCTTTTTGTGCTGTCAATCATGACGAAGCCCTCATACAGAGGGAGAAAAATAGCAAATAAGTGGTGGGCTGCCTTTCTGTACAATTTGGCGGGGTTCAAATTGCGCAGTGTTCGCCAAAGCAATGGCCAATTTGCTGCCATTGTAAAAATTAATTACGAAAAAATTCAGTGAATAGCTTTTGATCAAAAGGAACTATTAGACCTGGTCCCTATGTCTTTTTTTTTTTGTTCCCCTATGGCTTCACATTAAAATGTCAGTTTACTCATGTGAAGCTTTGCCGGCTCTCTCATTGGCTGTGCCGTAGGTGGGGTAAGGGCTGTTATTAGAGCTGTGGAAGGGAAGGTGGAGATGCATTTTAACAAGGCCGGCTTTGACATGGCTCAACTGTGTGCTAAGAGGTAATCAGGGCCCCCGCGCCAGTCACCGCGCAATTTCCCTCTCGGCGGTGGGCAATCACTGGAGCTAGAGAGGCTACGGAAGTGATTCAGCCCGTGAATTAGGAGCCCTCAGCGGCCCGACGCAAACCTGACTGGTGATCAAGGCTCCCAGACAACAAATCAGCCCCGACTGCTCCAGAACAGAAGAAATCAGATTTGCTTTGAGCCACACAAGAAAGAGAGGGAAAAGACAGGGCGAGAGAAGGAAGAGAGAAAGAGAGAGAGAGTAGACTTGGGACTTGATTAAAAACACAGTGTGAACTTTAGGTCTGGGATCATTGCAGAAATCCGCCAGGCTTACGCGTTTCTCAAGAAATATATTGGTGTCGCAAAATGTGCCACAGCAGTGATATACACAAGGGCCAGCAATGCACATCAGATGAGCTTTTAGAAATGAAACGAGTACAGACTTTATGTCTGTGCCCTCCATTCTTGATCAATCTAGACTCAAGTTAGTATCAATGTTCATTAATGTAAGACAATGTTAAAGAGGTTGATTGATTGCAGCCATCATGGCTTGACAAGGGCAACAGCATGGAGTGGTGTGATGTACTGTAATTGTCCCGACTCCCTCGGTGCAATCATTTTGTTGAGCACCACCAACTGCCTAAGCATATGACTTAGTTTTAGAGTTAGCATTAGCCACACTTGCCAACCCTCCTGATTCCCCATAGAGTCACAATTTTTTTGCCTTTTCTTGAGGATCTCCCAGGGTCAAAATTCTTCCAGTTTTGGAATCAATTTTATGATGCTTTGTGCTTCTTTTGTTGATACAGCCTGGTACGCAAAACTAGCCAGCTAACAGCAATTTAATCCTTTGAGAAGACCATTATACACAACTGTGAAAGTCAGCATGCTCTATTTTATCTATCTAGTGGAGAAGTGCTGCTTTGATAACATACAAATGGCCATGCAGCTGGCAATGTCATTTAAGAGCCTTTAGACTCCAACCAACTTGTCTTGCTGCTTTTTGTACAAGATACTAAAATCGAGGCTTCACAGTGAAATAGAAGGACTCACACAGGTTCACATAACCACAGTCTTTCTCAGCTCTACTGGTTGGCAAGTTTGGTAATAGTGTTCTGTGTTGCCCATTGTCCCCACTGTTGTTGACTGAGGCTTGCCTTAAAGGTGCGGGGGGGTTTCATTTCAAGGCCAAAACAAATCAGCTCAAAAATGACTGGCATCACCATGCTTGTTGTATCTTAGACAGCTTGTCACAAGCGTCTCCTCTGGCCTCCGCCTTTTGTTCAATTGGCAAAAATCCTACGAAAGCCGTCCAAAACAAACAGCCAGCATGTGATTTGGGGAGCTTTTCTACCCCCTCTTCCTTTAAGACAGGGTGTTAAAGCTCTTTGGTTGTCGCTGCTCGTCGGGTAACCCTGACCTGCTCTGTTCGTTTCTCTCGGGGCGGGTGAGCAGTGAATGGCGGCTGGTCCACGTGGGCCACCTGGTCAGCTTGCAGTGCAATCTGCGGCCGTGGCTGGCAGAAGAGGAGCCGGAGCTGCACTAACCCTGCCCCTCTGAACGGAGGCACCGCCTGCGAGGGCCAGAGCGTCCAGACGAGCGCCTGCACGGCTACCTGTCCAGGTAAACCGCCCACTTGTGCTTGAGTTCTAGTGCAGTGGTTCTCAACATCAAGAGATCATTTTGGTGGATGACAGAAAAGTAAATAGGCCTATACCTTTGATAGCATTTTCTGAAATTGACTTTTCCATGAACTTTTCCATACAAGTAATTTTATGCTAAAATAGAGAGTGACTGCATGAGTGAAGACATACACACTCATAGCAATGGAAATTCCTAACCAACATGGTTGGCAGCACTGGCATGGTGGGCAGCAGCATTTAGCCAAGAAGTTAACTTAGCAGCTAATTTCAGTGTTTTACAGTTATTATGCTTTGTTTAGCATTTGATTTGAGATAGAACTGTTGGAAATTTATGAAAATTCCCATATATGCTTTTTAAATCCCTGGGCCAGTATTCCTTGGCCACAATACCCCCACCCACCTTTTTATGGGGACATTAATTTTTCATTTTCTTTTCACTATTAATGTCACAACTCATCATTTATTAATACTCATACAGATAAGTTGATGTGGTACCACAACCACCCAACCCCCTTCCACCCACAGTCACTCTCCCTCCCATCACTGCCCTCTTGCCCACCTGTTCTACCTCTTTGATTGAAAGGAAAGACAGAGATAGCTGAGAGACAAAGCAATGCCCTGTCCCGTATTTGCTTAGTAATGCCATGTTCTTCCTTGTTTGCTAGCCATCTTGTATAATAATGTAACTGGCCAACTAACATAGTAGAACTAGCAGTGTGACAACAAAGTACCATAAAGTCCACATTCACAAAAAAATGTAAAGAAGGTTGCTAGTAGGTGGACGTTTGCAAACCTCAGCCTGTATTTTTGAGGGTGGGGTCACAGCTCGAAAAGGTTGAGAACCACTGCCCTAGTGCACCATGGGGCTAGGTAGCTTTGTTGCACTGTAGCTGATGCTGTAGGTCTAGCATGGTCAGCTGTTCACCGACTCCCCCGCCATAGCTAAGGACTGACCAGGACAGTCTGGCCCCTGTACCCCTCCATCCCACATCACAGGGCTGCTTGGCTTGCTTAGCAGCTGTTGATGCTTTAGCAACATGCTATCTGTGAATGCTTGGCTTGTGTGCTATTTGATTATTGCTTAGAATTATTCATGGCTAAACATGCCCTTTTTTGCCGTGTGCTGTCGCCCTTGCCGTCACCACATGAGGACTTTGAGCTATAAGCCAGTGCGGTCGCTTGCTGAGAGGGTGTGTGAGCTCCACTGAGTCAGCCAGGGCTTGAGCCACAGCCGAGTGGCATCTGCACTTACGGCCTGCTTGCAAATATGAGCATTAGTGAGTGATTTAATGCAGCGTGCCACATCTACGCCCCGGGAGCTGGAGCATCTCAGTGCACACAAATCCGCACACATATAGTACTCCTTTTAGAGACACAGAGAAAGAGAGACTGACAAAGAGAATATGGAGGATGAGAAAGGAAGCATAGTGAGAGATTTTGCTTAGTATTTATTGATCCTATGCAGTGGAGGGATAGCTGGGTCACGCTGCAATGAAAACTCTGGGGGTGAAAGTGTTCGCTTTTTACTCCAACTAAAGATTTGAAATCACAAAGGCACAAGACAAACACTCTGGAACATTAGCAGCATTAGAGCATAGTTACAATGGTTAGCACCTAATCGTCTCCACTAAGTCATTTTTGACATGTGGCTATCGCAGAGGTCTTCAAATCCAGATCTTCAATCCAGTGTGAATCTAGATGACCAGTCAGTTATATCAGGAGTTCAATTAACTACCAGTGATTGCAAAATTCAAGATTGGAAACTGGATCAAAGGTCTAGATTTGAAGAACATTTTGGTAACATCATGGATAGCTTTTATTTAAGGATGACATTTTTATATGAATTGTTTCGTTTTAAGTATTAGCAACTTTAACACAGCTGCTAGCTCACTTGCTAGTTTGCAATGGGCTATTACTCAGCTAGCTTAGCACTGTAACTTAGGGCATTTAACTGATGCAAACAGGAACTAATGGCATTTAATGTTGCAGTTCATTTTTGAGAGATAGCTAGAACCACCTTGCTTACTAGAACTAATGATTTAATCATCTTTTTGGTTGTTTTATGCAACTCTGAAGTGTCTAATTTGTCCACTTCTAGGCTTTGTCAAAAGGTTAACAGCTCAACACAGTTTTAGGCAAGTGTGTGGTGATTAAGCTAATTGGTGGGCTGTGAGCTTACATTACTTGTTGGCTACAACTAAAGAAGCAAACAGAAAACTGGAACCTTTGGTACTGGACCATTGGTCAGTTGAACAAGCACCATTCCATTTTTCTGGTACCAAAGCTTCAAGTACTTTATGCAGTGGAAAAATGTCTTCAGCTTTTGTTGTGTGAGTTTTCCTGCATTTTTTATTTTAAACAATGAAGAATGAAGAACAGACCATTCTGTTGGTTCTACTGAGTCTAACACATCCACTGAGCCTTTGCTAGCAATTCTGCTAACACTGTTTTAGGTTGTTGACCTCTTTTTATGTTCACTGAAGTTGCCCACATTACATATTCAAATGTCCACCCCTGCTAACACCACTGGAGTGGTTTGGGGATGAGGGCGATGTTGGTCATCACTAAAAAGGCATTATGAAGGCATTAGCGCCTGCTGGAAAATATGCTAGTGCTCAATAAACAGCAGAGGAAATCAAGCCTGCCTGTCGGTTAAGGCTCTGTTTCTCTCTCTCTCTCTCTCTCTCTCTCTCTCTCTCTCTCTCTCTCTCTCTCTCTCTCTCTTGTCTGCACCCCCCCCCTTCTTCCATGAGCAGGGTTTAGCTACTTAAGCCTTTCTCCTGTTTCAGCACAAAACACACAGTGTAATTTAATCAGACATCACCTTTACGCAGTGCCGTAAGTAACAGAGCTTCGGAAAATACGTCAAAAAAATAAAAAAACATCGCTGCACTCCACAGGGAGTTTAGTGTGTGGATGGATTTCACATGATTAGGGCACAAATAGCATCACTGTGTAGAAACATCCTGAAGAGGTGGAGGGAGAGAGAGGGAAGAGAGAGAGGAGGAGTGAGGAGCGAGGAGGTAGCGAGGGAGAAACAGGAAGTGGAAGGCGAATGTGAGAAGTGAGGGAGAGAGAAGGAAAGAGAAGGTGGAAATGTAAATAAGACAGCAGGATGGAAGAGAAGGAAGGGAGAAAGGAGTGAGAACAGGGGAGATGGGAGGAGAAAACGAAGCCGAGAGAGTTAAAAGTAAAAAATTAGATATGCACAGTTTCCCCCTTAAAACGAGTGTAGTTGATCAGCCAAGATGTGTGATGTCTAACGTTTGCTCCTTTAGTTGTAGCACTGGACCAACGAGACTAATGCCAACAAGTATTGAAATGTTACAGCCTACCTATTAGCATAGACTGCATGCCTAAATCACCACATATTTGCCTCAGACTGCTGAGTTGTTAACCCTTTGACAAAGCCTGGAAGTGGACTCTAAAGTAGCGATACAATACATTATGTACATTATAACTATCTGATTCAGCACAAACTTAGCATTTACCGATCACCGAATACAAATAGTAAATGATACAGACAGAAACAGTATGCAAAGGCACTGGAAATGAGGTTTTATTCACATTTTTACTATAAAAGCAACGTATAAAACAATCTGAATGACTAATCTGAACAGTAAACCACTTTATTAACTTATAAAAAACACTTCAAATATTTTCTACCAAATTAATTCAAACTGCAGCCCTACGATTTCCAAAAAAAAGACTTCAGAAATTTACAGCAATGATATTTTGATCTATTTAAACCCAAGTCATTAATAGAGTTAGTTATAAGCTGAATGTATGCAAAATCATCCTTTGGGGTACGTTCTATTGGGAGGTGTCTGTCCCAAACCTTAACCCCTATATTTACACATGTATAATATATAATAATAATACTTACTTATATAATAATACTTACATTTTTTACACTCTTTGTAAAGTTTTGAATTCTTTTAAAGTGAAGATTAAAGATTGTGAAATAATAATGGTAAAAAAAAATGTAAAAATGCTGTCCTATGTTTTCATGTCAGAGTTTTAGTCCATATTTTAGCCACACCCCTGCATTTTAGAGCAGGAAGTGAGGCTGCATTGCTGTCCCTGATGACCACATGGTGAGCAGATCGATCCCATCATTTTGAAGTAAATGTGTCCTCGAGTCTGAAAACCAGTGCGAAAGAATTATACTACGGAAGTACATTTACAGTTAAGTGAACATTTTTTTGTGTTTTAATGAAATATATTATGATTTTATGTCTGCAAAACTGTTCAAAGCTGTGTTTGCTAGTCATGTACTGGCTAGCATTTTTGAGGGCTACTCAAAATGAGCTAAAATTGTCATGACTGAAACAATCTGTACTGATGCATTTTGTAAAGTTTCAATACTGTCATGACTGTTTTGGTAGTGACAAAATGGAATGCTCAATCATTTGTTTTAATAAAATAAACAAAATTAAGGCACAGGGTCGTTCAAGATGAGAGGATTTTAGTCTAAAGTCCTTGTCTTTGAAGGTCCGAACTGTGTTTTGAACTCTGACTTTGAGCCAATTCAGTAAAATTATCCATATATACCAATATATAACCATTTTTTTCAGCACTGTCACTGGAAACCACTAGTATGCTGGAACATGCTAACACTATGTCAGCAGTCATATTTTGAAACCAGGTGTGGGAGGGGCTCAAAAGCTAAATCTCTGCTATGACTGGACCTACTGGATGGTGTTTTTTGTCCTCTTATCGGCTAACAAACAATGATAAAATCAAACAAAAACTGTGAAGAAAAAATGGTCAAGCTCAGGTTCCCTAGATTTACATGGACTTCTTACCTGTCCAGGGTGCTGGGCTGGGATAGGCTCCAGCAACCCCAACAACCCAGAAGGATAATTGGCTTAGACAGTGTGTGTGTGTGTGTTGATAATATTTAAGATGATTGAGAAATTTGTGTACATTTTTTCTAAACTATTCCTTTACAAGGGCAAAAGAAAGTTGGAAGTGGTA